TTATTGAGGTGTTCAAAATAATGACCAAATCTGACAGGGTAAAACAGGATATTCTGTTCCCACTAGCTGATATGTCATTAACTAGATTGTCAAGATTGTCAGCAAGACAGCTAGGAATGAGATGATGAGAAACTTATTTACTCATAGTTGTTAGAATTTAGAATGTGTTGTCTGGGAGAGTGGTAGAGGCATATTCCATAGGAGGTTTCAAAAGAGAGCTAGATATATATATGTGAAAATTAATAATTTACAAGGCTACAGAGCTAGTGTTGCAGAATGGGACTGTTTGGGTAGTTCTTTCAGGAACCAGTACAGACACAATGGGCCGAATGGCTTCCGTATTGTAAAATTCTATGATACTATGAAAGATGCTAATTAAATGAAGATTTTGTCTTTCTTTATTACTATTGCAATTTTTTTCGAACCTAAACCTTTTTGTAGATGTTAATATTATGGGAATATTGGGTCAATTTCAATACGTGACTAATCCCTGACGTGAGAGGTGAATGATTCTCCTAATAACCTCAGAAGAAAAAATTTAACAAGGGAGGGAGGAACCTCTGTGTAGTGACTGACATGCAGTTTTCATTTCCATTAATGAGAAAGTTATAAACCTGCATAAGACTCATCTCAGTCTGTGGAATTTCTGTTTTAAAGAAATTAAAGGTGACTTCAAAGGCAATTCTGTGTTACCAATCGGGGAGCTAATTATGTTTACTGACAACATTCTAGGGACCAGCTCCAATCACATTATAAACACAATCTGGTCTGAGGGTTATATGTGATAACATCATGGATATTTCCAACACTGCTTACTCAGTTAAGTCCTGCAGTGGATGATTTAGGTTACAACTGCTGATACAGCCATTATTTTGGACTTGCACCTTGAACAACCAGGAAGAGTTGCATTTTTATATGTAACAGATTGAGTTGGACATTTCATTTAATTCATTCACAGGATGTGGGTAGGGCCAGTATTTACTGTCCATCAGTAATTGCATTTGAGAGGAGCCACCTTCATGAATACAACTGAGTGGCTTGCCAGGCATTTAAAAGTCAGCCACATGGCTGTGGATCTGGAATTACATGTGGACCTGACAGAGCAAAGGTGGTGGCTTTCATTTCCCCCAAAAAACATTAGTGGACTAAATAGATTTTTCTGACAATCTGGAAATTTCAAGGGCATCGTTACTGACATAATCTTTTAATTTCAGGCTTGTTTATTTCCCAGTGGCTGCGGTGAGATTTGAACAATCATCTCTCAATTGTTAATGCAGACCTCTGGAATTCTAGTTAGTCATACAACCACTGCATTGCTGATCCCCACGACCTTCCCACGCACCCTCACCCCTTTAAGAACCCCATAGACCATCAGCACATACACATTCAGCTCCCTCACCCACATACTCACTCAGTTCTCCTCATGCACACAAGAAACCCACAAACCTCATGGACAGATGCACCCATCCACATAGCCACCCACACACTCACCCAAATCCCTTAAACCACACAAGAAGCCCATACACAACACCCCACCAGCACTCAAAACCTCATCCACCCACGTACACACCCACAGTCACAGGGATTTTTCTAATCTCTCCCTAATTCAATACCACACACTGTTGTATCAAGATTCAGCATGCTATGTTCTCTGTCTTTCTTAGCCAGGGGTAAGGTATTGTCAAAGTTTTGAAGAAACAGAATGGACTCATGCCAAACAAAAGGATCACGCAAGATGGAATAGACAGGAAGGTGGAATGAACAAGGCAACAAAAATGCTCCCCCTTCTCTATGAGCTCCCCCAGTCTTTGTGTTCCTTACATTTGGTCATTTTTTTAAGATAGTGTGTTGACTCCCACAAGTTCGGAAAACTAGTTTAGATTGGGCCTGGTTTTGAAGAAATGAAAAGAAGGAAATTGCAATTCTGAAACACAATATTTTGGAAGTACTATTTGTTATTGTTAATGATAAGCATGTTTCAACTATGTAAAGATTCTAGTTCCTAGTAAGCATGAGTCTGCATTCAGTTCTGTAGGTAATATCTGTTCACCTTTGAGCCTGAAGGTTGCATGTTCAAATCTCACCCCAGGCTCCTGAGTACATGAATCTATATTGACGCTGTCAATGCAGTACTGAAGGTGCTCAGAGGTGCCACCTTGCAGATCCCATCTGCCCTTGCAGGGAGACAGAACTTCCTGTGTTCGAGGGCACCTTCCTGCTGTGCTCTGATCTTGTTGCCTTTCAAGAGGCGTTTGTTTCTATTATTTTAGAAGGCTGAGACTGGTGAGAACGTGGGACCCACTACCACCGGGAGCAGTGGAGGCAAATCGCATAGATGTATTTAAAGGGAATCTAGAGAAGCACAAGGGAGAAAGGAATAGGAAATATCTCAACAGCACTGCTAATCAAGTATAATGTTTCCCTTTGCATCCTGAGTTTGACTCATTAGGTCCAGAAATTGTACAGAATGTTTCTTTTACAGAAACAGGCCAATTGTCTAACTCCAGTTAGACAATCACATGATCATCATGTCTTCTTGAACCTCAAAGAACTGGTGTCTTGTCCTTTGCACAGGTTTGTAATCACTTACACACAGAAGTTTATGTTCCACTGGTCTCCTCACCTCAACTCACTTTTTGACAAGGCCAGATGGGATCTGAAAGCCTCAGCACTGCACTGATGGTTTCAATATGGATTCAGGTACTCAAGTATCTGGGGTGGGGTGGGGTGAGGTGGGGTGGGCACTTAAACACACAACCCTTTGGCTCTAAAGTGAGGGGGATGCTACCTACAGAGTTGCTGATGCAGATTCACACTCACTGGGAACTGGAGTCTTCATATGGTGGAAATGTGCAAGTAATGAGAAATTAAGGAGATGTACTTCTGAAATATTGATTTGTGTTATGGAATTACAGTTTCATCCCTTCCTACTAGATTACTACTAGACTAATGATGCAAGGGACTATTTTTTAATGAAGCCTGGGAGTGGAGGCCCAGGCCAGTTAAGAGAACTGTGCAGTATATGGCAGCTGAAATGACCGTGTTTTAAATCAACACTACTTGTCTACGTTCTGCCAATCAGCAACCTAGAGCTAATTACTTTATTCACTGTTACCACCGTTACCACATAGCCTGCCACTACACACCCCCTGTTGTTAGTCACTAACAGTCCCCATTAACAACTGCTCACCCTCCCAGCCTGATCGTTACAAACTCCTTTGTCTGTCCAACTGTCTCTCTCTCTCTCTGGGCTCTATCCTATCGTTTACACCCTACCCCACCCACCTCCCTATTTTCTGCATATAAACTGACATTTTCCCAGCCACCATCAGTTCTGAGGAAGGGTTACCGGACCCGAAACGTTAACTCTGTTTTCTCCTTCACAGATGCTGCCAGACCTGCTGAACTTTTCCAGCAACTTTGTTTTTATTCTTGATTTACAGCATCCGCACTTCTTTTGGTTTTTACTTTATTCACTCACAGTCCAGCTTAAAAACTAACTCTACAATCAGACTGCTGCTCCAACCTCCTTTATTTAATGAGGATCAAACTTTTGGATCTTGGTACCAAATGTATGAATTATGGAATAATATAAAGATCAGAAACAAGTCATTCGGTCCTTTGAGCTGAGCCAGCAAGGACACAAAACATTGAACAATCTTCCTTTGTGTTCTTACCATTCTGTCCACGTCTCTGCAGTGGTTCTTTGCTGCAGTCTCACTCCTACCACCCTGCCTTTTCCCCAAGTGCTTGCAATTCCTTTCTGCTTCAAATTTTTTATCCATTTCTTCATTGAAATTGAAGCTGCATCCATCACTTTCTGAGGCAAAGCATATTCTAGATTGTAATTGCTCACTGTCTTAAAAATTTTCCTCACAATGCCTCTGGTTACACTCAATCTCTGCCTTCTGGTTAGCAACACTCCAACCAATGTAAAGCGTTTCTCTTTACTGTTTCCCCGCAAAGCAAGCTGCAAGGTGAAATTTCAAGGCTTTCCCCACAGAAACAAAAAGCAAGAAAAGGCTCTTACTAACCTTCATTTAGCTACATAAACTCTCAAAAACCGATGCTTGCCCTAGCAGCCAGTGCTGACAGAATCAGAGGAAAGGCAAAACATATCCTGAAAACAAAACATGGACAGAGCAACAGGAAGAGACTATTCAGCTCCTCCAATTTGTTCTACCATTCAATTAGATGGATCATGGCTGATCCATATCATAGCTCGATCTACTATCAATCTCTGTTTAATTGACACCCCAGCCTCACCATCTTTCTTTGGGACAGACAATTCTCCACAGCCTTTTGTGTGAAGAAGTTCAAGGTTTAAGGTGAGAGGGGGAAAAGATTGAAAAGGGTCCTAAAGGGCAACTTTTATACTCAGCAGGTGGTGTATGTATGAAATGAACTGCCAGAGGAAGTGGTGGAGACTAGTACAATTGCAATATTTCAAAGGCATCTGGATGGGTACATGAAAAGGAAGGGTTTAAATGGATATGGGCCAAATGCTGGTAAACAGGACTAGATTAATTTAGGATTTCTGGTTGGCATGGATGAGTTGGACCGAAGGGTCTGTTTCCGTGCTGTACATCTCTATGACTCTAAATACTTCCGGGCATCGCCCTGAATGGCGTAGCTCTTAACGTTAAGGTTCCACCCCCTTGTTCTGGGCACCTCACAGAAGGAGAAATAGTCTCTCTCTAGCTAACCTAATAAATCACCAAATAAATTAAGCACCTCACTCCTTAATCACCTATACTGAAAGGAACACAAGCCATGTGAATGAAAGCTGTCCTCTTAACTGTTCTGATGACACTGCACTGTGCCCACTCCAAGGCCAAAAAATACTTCCTCAGGTATGATGACCAGATCCAATGCCACTCAGAATTCATTCTCTATAATGAGCAAAAACCTCTGCCTTCTGATTACTTGAAACAGAAATTAAGACGTGGTCTTGGTTATTTATCAAAACACTGATTAACAGGAAGAACACAAACCCTTACCTCACCAACTGCGTTGGACAAAATATGGACTATCTTTTCATGAGGCGTTGCAACGACACTTTGCCCATTGATTTCAATGATCCGATGACCAACTCTCACACCACCACGCTCTGCAATTCCTCCTCGCATAAGGCTGCATATCTGAAATACGTTTGGAGAGCTGTCATGAATTGGTGCGTGAAGATGCAGCCTCTGAACATGAAATGCACCTTCAATTTAAGGGAAGCTAGGGCCTTTGCCAAACATCAATTGTCTCAGCACGAAAGGGGTAAATGGACAAAATCAGGCTCCCTTTGCGGGTTACTAACGCTCAGGATTAGTCTGGAATCTCCAGGATTTCAGGATTTATCTCATGGATACCGCTCTGAACAAAGAACAACCTGGAGAAAGATTGTTTGGCCGCTCCAGTTTGAGATGTGACTTCAATCTGGTGCTTCAAAGATGGGTTTAAAAGATTTCATTGCAATTAATTTCAATCAGGGAGGCAGGGGAGTTCTCTCCAGTGCCTTTACCAGCATTCACCTTTGATTGAATCATCAAAAACAAACTTTCCGGTCATCACCACATTGCTGACTGTGGGATCTTGCTGTACACAAATGGCTTCTAACCACACAACAGTGCTGCATTTCCAAAATACTTCACTGACTTTGCTATGTTGCAAATGGTGCAATTTAATTGCGAGTCTTTTATTCAAAATATTAATTCACACTCAAATATCGATACAGTAAGCCTTCTGTATCCACGAAATCACGAATCGCGAATTCACCTACTGGCGCGAAAAATTAAGTAACAATAAAAATCAATGTCTGCAGGCATAAGCCGCATATCCATGATTTTTTTTAACCATTTTAACTTATTTTTAACCTATCTTTAACAAGCTCCATACTTGCGGGGCTCTCAGGAACTGAACCCTCACATATACCGAGGAACGGCTATAGTATGCTACCTTTTGAATATCCTGTGCATATTTTAGTATACTGCACACAAAATGACTAAACCATTTCTCTTTTTGCAGATACCCACTTAGGCAAGTATAAGACAACCCCGCTTTTTCAGCCAAAACATCTTACATTCACATAAGTAGTCAGCCTCAAATTCTTACCCTGCCAATGGATGCTTTACCTATCTGTGGGCATGAGGGATCCAAGCTGACAATATGGACTGTGTTGCGAAGAAGTGCAGGAATGTAAGACTCCACATGGTGAATGGTAAGAATGGTGACCACCCATACACACAGCAGCAGCTCACTTTGTACGACTTTGTAAACCAACTCGCTCAGATGTGTCAGGACACACCTCTGGAGTGGGATATGACTAGCACCCACATCTCCTGGCTCAGAGAACAGTTCACTTCTATACTTGGCGTATGAGTCGATCTCGTCTTTGGAGGGATTTTTAAAAGCTTTCAAAGGTCAACCTAGGCACCAATATCTAGAATAAATCTTGGCTGTCCTCACAGTGTCCTATTTTGGAGTAAAGACAGTCGGTTATAGTAAGGCATTGGAAGAATTCCATTTGTCTGGCTTTGATATTGAATGACATGCAATTCGCTTCCAAACAAAATTCAAAAATAACTACTGCCTTTACAGCAACATGATAATTTGGTTCTTGAATCCTCGTTGCTGTTTTCATGAAAAAACAACTCTGGTAAATATTCACTGACTTGGAATGTGAACATGTTGGAACATGATGCATGCGACGACATCACTTTCTGCAAAACCTTGTTGACAAAAATGAAACAAGCCTTCTCCCTTTGCCCTAGGCTGCCTGAACAGTTTGTCATGCAAAGGAAAAGGAAGAGATAGAGAAGCCTGGCTTGTAACTGGAGTTAAGAAACATTTCAATTTGTTTCATGTGAGGAAGCTGTATTTAATAATTTAGTGCACATTTTTTGAGGTGTAGCAGCAGAATTCCACGGAGTATCTGGTCGGAATTTGTTACTGGACAGAAATCACTAAAATAGACTACTGGGTCATTTTTCTCATTGCTGGATCTAGAATGGCAGAGCACAGATGCTGGTGCTGGTACCTGCTGTTTGAAACAATGCAGTTAATCCCAACGCTCTTTCCCTAACTCGGCTTTTTATTTCTTCAAATCCCCGGTGGTCTCCTCATCTCCTCTCTGATTTTTTTTTGCTGATTACCTTAAATCTGTAGCCTCAGGCTACCAACTCCTCCGCCACTGGAACCAATTTCTCCCTACTTACTTAATCAAAACTCTTCAAGGTTTTGAACACTTCTATCGAATCTCCCCTTAACCTCGTTTGTCGTAAGGAGAACATCTCCAGCTTGAGAGGCCTTGCTGTGCACTAATCAGCAGCTGTCCTGCTTAAATACAACAGTAGTCAGTGCTTTGGGATGTCCTTCTCTTGTTAAATGCTGTTCTGTAGAAGTCCTTCTTTCCTCACAGATTAAACTCAAGGGGTTGCATATTGCAAACACCACTGGGTCTAATTTGGGCAAAAGGCTAATCCACCTGATCTCCCATACCCCCAGCCCATCCTGAGCTCACCTCCATAATACAGAGGCTGAGCATGGGCTGAAATCAAAGGTCCACCCACCATATGTAAATAAATGGAGTTAACAGACCCCAATATTATGCTGCCCACACCATAATACAGTTGCCATGAGTAAGCAGGCAGGAATGGGCAGCAATTTTTTTTAAAGTAAGTGCAGGAAGGAAGGGAATACCGTCTTTAGCACATTTGGGGCACTTCCCCCAGAAGGTAGTATCCCTATGTCCCTTCCCCCTGCATGGACTTTAAAACCCAGCCCTAAGGTCATCAAACCTTCCCTATCAATGACCCTTACTCATCTGAGTCACAGTATCATTAGCATCCACTGTGAAGCTCTGGCGCTGCAGGCCAATCTGATTTTCCAGCAGCTCTAGGGTGAGATGTCCTGCTGGTGTGGGGCAGAGAAACACACTTTGCTGTAATTGTGCCCCCACACACACAGTGTTACACCCAGGCAGCAGGCAAGATTCAACCACACTGGTGAGAGTCTGGAGTTACATGTAGGCCAGTCTAGGTAAGGACAGCAGCTCGATTCCCTGAAGGGTATTAATGAACCAGATGTGTTTTTACCACAATTGACAGTAATTTAATTTCAGACTTTTATTGAATTCAAATTTCACCATCTGCCACGGTGTGATTTATGGCCCCAGAACATTATTCTGAATCCCTGGATTGCTAGTCCAACTACACCATCCGCCCACTGTAAATTTTTGCCTGAGGACCTAACTACCTCATTAACTTCAGTTCATCTTCCCACCATCATCAACATTGCTGCATTTCTCCTTTACATCCCAGATGGTCCTTCACCAAACCCAAGGAGCATGATTCCACTCACAATGCCATTCTGGACACTGAAACCCAGCTGATAGCGAAGGTCCGGTCTTCTAATAAGTACTGTAGTGACAGGTGGGCATCGCACAATGTTCAGTTTCACACGAGCTTGGTTCTTCAAACCCTTCATTTGAAACAAAACACACAGCATTGGTTATTTCTTTGACAGACTGAATTCTGGATCAAAGAAGTAGCAGGTAAGACCGAGGCAGATGTAGGATTATATTTCAACTATCTCTGTTTAAGTGGCTTCCTTCCCAGCTCTCACATGTTTGCAGTTCTGTCCTTTTACCTCTCTGGTCATCAATATTATCCTGTAGACAGCCACAGTCCTAAGTAACAGCTTCTCTGTGGGCTCCACAGCTTACAACTACATAATCACCTTTCCACACAGCAAAGTACCAAGTTTGGAAAAACATTGAGCAGGGAGTGGAAAGATTCAGGAGGGATGTGGCCTGAATACACAGATAAGGAAGGTGTGAAAGAGGATTCTGAAGGACAGTGTGATATATTATGTGCATATAAATATTTTGGAGTTTTTTTTTGGAAAGGACAGTGGCATTTGAAATCAGTTAATTTTCTGAACAGTTTGGAAAAAAAAACTAGGTCAGACAGTCCTTCCAAAACAGTGACCTAATCCAGTATATATCAGAAGGCAGGGATCCCCGGAGTGTTAATGGAAGCTTGTTTATACTGTGCTAAATTATGACAGTCAGTGTAAATGATGAAGGCTATTAGCTGGTTTTTGGTTCATTATAATCAAGGATTGATTTCAGCACTGGAAATCCAGAGATTAAAAGTTTTTTTTTGTCAGATTGGAGGAGACTGATTGGGGTCAGAAGAAAATATAGTTCCTCTCCTTAAAAAAGAGCAAAGCACTGTTAAGGGAAAGCAGAGTTACCTCATAAGAAATGTTTAATTCATGCGACTTCCAGACCGGGAGTATGAGATTAGAAACTGGCAGGTTAATAAAATGCTCAGAGATAGTAGGAACTGCAGATGCTGGAGAATCCGAGACAACAAGGTGCAGGGCTGGATGAACACAGCAGGCCAAGCAGCATCATAGGAGCAGAGAGGCTGACGTTTCGGGCCTAGACCCTTCATCAGAAAAGGGGGAGGGGAAGGGGGTTCTGAAATAAATAGGGAGAGAGTGGGAGGCGGATAGAAGAGGGATAGAGGTGAGGATAGGTGGAGAGGAAACAAACAGGTCGAAGAGGCGGGGATGGAGCCAGGAAAGGTGAGTGTAGGTAGGGAGTTAGGGAGGGGATAGGTCAGTCCAGGGAGGATGGACAGGTCAAGGGGGCGGGATGAGGTTGGTCGGTAGGAGATGGAGGTGCGGCTTGAGGTGGGAGGAGGGGATAGGTGGGAGGAAGAACAGGTTAGGGAGGCAGGGACGAGCTGGACTGGTTTTGGGATGTGGTAGGGGGAGGGGAGATTTTGAAACTTGTGAAATCCACATTGATACCATTGGGCTGCAGGGTTCCCAAGCGGAATATGAGATGCTGTTCCTGCAACCTTCGGGTGGCATCGTTGTGGAACTGCAGGAGGCCCAGGATGGACATAAAATGCTCAGCAGGTTTAATCTGTTGACTTTGTAAATACACACGTAACACAACTTCAGTTCTCAGTGAAGAACTGAAAATTAGCTATGTCAAATTTAAAGATTTGATATGGGGGAATAATTTCCCTGGATTTAACTTGTTGTAAAGTGACAATTTTGAAGATTAGATTGAAACATGACTTGGCTGAGTGTTCTAAGATTTACTATTGTGTTCTTTATTTAGATAATCTGTCTTTTTCTGTTTTCATCTTTTGTGTAATAAAATCTATTGTTAAAGAAACTGTTGCTAAAGCCACTTGTGACTATATTTCAATGATTGGCTGCCACATTAACCAAAAAATAACTGAACTCTCAAGCCAGATTTCTTTCTGGACTCTGGCATGTCCAATAGCACCATCAACTGGGATCACAACAACAGGAAAGAAATGAACAGAAGGAGAATGAACTGGACAAATACGTGTGAGTGTCATTGGAAGTGGCAGGACAGGATAGGACAGCAGTTACAACACCCAAGGTTTCATCAATAAGGGCGCAGGATACAAAAGCAAAGAGATTGTTGTAACCCTGTATAAAACATTGGTTTAACCTCAACTGGAACATTGGTCTACACGCCACACACTATAGGAAGGATGTGAAGACATGTGAGTGCAATAACAATTCACTAAAATGGCTCCACGAATGATGAACTTCAGTGATGTAGGTAGAGCAGAGAGATTTGTATGGAAACAAGGCATTGATAACTCTGATGGTGGGTGGGGGGGTGGGATTTCACATGATGACTAAATGGACTTTCAACAGAAAGATAAGAGATCATCTAGGATATCCAGCTTTAGTCAATGGCCAAAAGAAGCTGTAATTGTCTGTCTTCCTATGAATGACTGACAGAAGCCTCCCAGTATTAAGGTATCAAAATGAACTCTTTCAATTGAAAAAGCATAATTTTGGATGCGAGAGATCTTCTCAAGGTGGGACCGATCCCAGCTTCAACTCAAGCTCAAAACAATGGAATCGTCTGTCACTTTCAAACCCCTGTCTACATGAGGGAAAAGCACTTCCTGATATTTTATCTGATTCAAAGGCAAAGAACTGAGGGAAGAAGATCGCTGTTAACAAACAAACAAGAAACTGTCACCTCCAGCCATGGAGATCAGCTTCTCAAGAGTCATACAGTATGGATACAGATCCTTTGGTCCAACTTGTCTATACTGACCAGGTTCCCCAAACTAAACTAGTTCCATTTGCCTATGTTTGGCCCATATCCCTCTAAACTTTCCTATTCATGTACTTGTCCAAATGTCTTTTAAATGTTGTAATTGTAAACGCCTACCAATTCCTCGAGCGGCTCATTCCACATATGACCCACCCTCTGTGTGGAAAATGTTGCCGCTCAGGTCCCTTTTAAATCTTTCTCCCCTCAAATTAAAATTATGCCCTCTGGTTTTGAACTCCCCTACCTTAGGGAAAAGGCCTTTGCTATTCACCTTATCTATGCCCCTCATGATTTTATAAACCTTTATTAGGTCACCCCTCAACCTCTGATGTTCCAAGGAAAAAAGTTGCAGCTTATCCAGCCTCTCCTTATAACTCAAACCCTTCTATCAGTTTATATGATTGAGAATGACTACACCACTCTGACAGAGATGCCAGCGACAGCCATGAGGTCAACAAGGCCCTATTACCACATCAAGACCAGTAAATTATTTTCACTTGTTGTACATATTTTATGCCTGTTTAGATCATTTATCATCTTCTTCCTGTCTATTTAACTTATGCAACATTTGTAAACCCAATGTTTCTTAATAAACTTCCCTTAAACTGTACACCAATTCTCAATGGCCTATCTCAGGCAATCTGTGACTTCCAAACCTTAAAAATCTTATATTCTGTAACCATTCTATGATTCTGCAGTGAGGAAGGGTTGTCTGAATGAACGCCTAACTGAACAGTGAAACAAAGGGTGACACACAGGGAGTAGGTAACTAGGTTAGGTCAGGGTTGCAGAGATATGTGGAAGAATCCAAAAATAAAGCCAAGGATTCACTATGCTGGGAGGCAGCAGCCAATATATCGGCAAAGAGGTCTCCATAGGTTTCAGGTTAAAAACAGCCAAGCAAGTTATTTGACAGCATTGAGGTTGAGGCTGAAACACGAGGCACAGTGTTCCACAAGTGATCTTCACGACTCAACAAATAAGCGATTAAAGCGTGGCTCCAGACTGAATAGGAGACCTGGACTGCAAATGTTTGAAGTGTACACGTGCAATGCTTCATGACTTTGCGTGCCATCCTTGCATGGGGGCTTTGCTAATGCTCTCTATATCATCTCAATTTTAGTATACATGGGGCTGTATGCACATGAATCACAGAAAGCCTACAGTATAGCCCATTGAGGCTGCACCGACCCTTCAAAGAGCATCGAATCCAGACCCAACCTCCCACCCTATCCCCGTAACCACAAATTTACTACGTGTGAGCATTCTTGTTCGTGTCTGCGGAAAGACTCAGGAGGCACGTGTGTAGCTAGGAAGGGCGATGTGCACGATGATTAAAGTGTACTGCTTCTAACTCATGTTTGCTACTGTTGAATTGAAGATCAAGCTCTGCCTCAGGCGACGCACACAGATGAGGAATGGGAATTGGTCACTGAAGATATGTATCTCATAATGCAACAAACAGAAATGGATTCATGACAGTGTGTTGCCACAGAGGTGGACCACAAAGAAGCAATCAATCAAGTAATGCTAGAACATTAGCTGAGGTTTGGGAAGCAAAGAGTCTGTGTCCAACTCAGACACACTGTAGAATTCCTACAAGCATGGGAGCAGTGTCTGGTTGATCTAAATGTTGGGACATCCATCAGGCCAGTAGTTTTTACTTGCTAGTTAGCAATAAATCTTGGCTCCAGTGAGATTCCCTAGCAAGGTACAAAAGCTTTGGTAATGCAGTGGATAGGTATGTTGCTGGACTAGTGATCCAGATGCCCAGACTAATGGTTTGGAGTCATAAATTCAATTCCCACCACAGCAGCTGAGGAATAAACAAGAAGTCTCAGTCAACAATGACCATGAAACTACTGGATTGTCATAAAAGCCCATCTGATTCCCTAATGCGTGTGAGAGAAGAACATTTGACATTCTGGCCCATAAGTGACCCAGGCTCACAGAAACATGGTTGGCTTTAATGGCCTAGCAAGCTGGTGAGTTGTATTCAGCAAGTTAGCTCACTACCAATCTCCCAAAAGCAACTTAGGGATGGGCAATAAATGCTGCCTTGAAAATGATACTCACATCCAATGTCTGAAAGAAGCAACACCAAATTTGACCATGGCCATGGAGATACAGTCTGAAATATATTACAAATACCAAACACTGATACACCCCTTTCCCCAACATTATCATTGCATTTTAAGAGTGGATAATGTACCTTTATGATGCTCTGACAGGTAGACAATGGAAGTCCCACCAGGCTGGTGCCATTGATAGACATGATTTGGTCCCCGATGTTCAACTTCCCAGATTTTTCTGCTGGGCCTGCGTGCATCATGTTTGCAATAATTACAGTAGGCAGTATGGAGCCCCAGCCAGACTCAACAATGACCAGACCCAATATTTCACCTTTCTGCTTATCAACGTGAACCTGCCAAAAGAAACACAAGAAAGGGGTTACATCAACACCTGCCTCTATTTAAAATACTAAAGACATTGGAACAGGAGGAGGTCAATCAGTCCCACAAGCTTGTGCTAACATTAGCATCATTTGTGACCTAACTCTATCTACCTGCCTTTGCCCCATACTTAACATCTTTAGTTACCAAGCATCTAGCACAACTCAGATTCAAATTCAACAAATGAGCCAGAACAACTGCCTTTTTTTCTCTTTGTGGAAGGATTCCGTATCTCTCCTACCCTTTATCTATCCAAGTGCTTCCTAATTTCACTCCAATAGAGTCTTATTCTAATTTTGGCTACTGAGGCAGTTGGAAAATTTCCTGTTTTGCAGAGTCCACCTCAGTAAAATAAAACACCACGACAAAATGCATGGTTTATGCACTCCTCCCACTGCTGCCCCCTGCAACACGCCATAGGAAGCCACAGGAGAAGCCGAGGGATGACGTAGCTTGTTTCTCACCGTCACCTCAGCTCTTTGGCGCTTTGTGCCTGTTGTTTAAGAGGATGTCAGGCCCACTACCCCCTACACCCCTCCAATTACCCACCCTCCCATGGTCCTTCATACCATTCATGACAACTTAGTGCTAACCCCGGTTTCACATCCTCTGTCACAGTCCCTCCTGTTTCCAATCCACTTCCTTCGCCACTCACCCAGTATCCGGCCACAGGTAGACCTCACAAAGCATGTGGAGATGGAAAGATGTCTAATAATCAAAAGCAGCTCTCATTCCTACGTAGCTGATACTGAAAATATCTCCCATTCATAAAATCCAATCAAAGCTTTTAAACCTTCATGCCAATCCATATAAAAATAAATATCAAAGATAGCGAATCCTTTTATTGCCTCATTAAACTGTCAATTGAACTGTGAACTCAGAAGCTCCTTAATCGTAGATTTTGAAATGCAGCCAAGAATCCATTATGATATCTTAGACAATTGTCCACAAAGAGCTCTATTCAAACTGTCCAACAAAATGTCACTATTTTTCTAACGTGTGCCTGTCAGGGTTCCATCCTGTTTCACCTCAAGTGCTTTCTGTGGTAGAGAATTCCACAGGCTCACCGCTGTGAGGAATCTTCTTCTCATCTCAGACCTAAATGCCCTATCCCTTATCCTTAGACTGACCTTTGGTTCTTAACTCCCTGGTCATTGGGAACATCCTTTCTGTGTTTATCCTGTCTAGGCCTGTCGGAATTTTACAACTTTTATGAGATCCTCCCTCATTCTACTAAACTCCAGTGAATTTAGTGCAGATCGATCAAGTCTCTGTGCCCTCCTTTGTGAAGACAGCATCAAAATATTACAATGTAGGCCACTATGGTTCTCGTGTGCCAAATAATTTTGAGTCCATGACGTGGAGGTGCTAAAACATAGTCAGGCAAAGTTTGAATGGGAGGATAACAGGCCTGACAGTGGGTTCACCAAGCTTTGCAAACTATATCATTCTAGATTGTCTCCTTTGGGATATTTTTAAAATTCTGAATGTGAAAAGGTTATAAAACTATAAAATGTTTCATCCAATCTTTTCACCAGGTCCAAGATGGCGGCGGAGCAGGGCTCCAGTACTGGAGGTCCTCCGCATCATCTGTCTTTTTTTTTTCTCTCTTTTCTCTTTTCATGTTTTTCTCCCTTTCTACTTACCTCCCTCCCATCCTCAGGTGGCAGCGGGGGCATACAGTTGAGCCAGCACTGACTCGATGTGAACCCCAAAACAAACTCGAGGGACTCCCAGCCCCGAGTTGAAGCCCAATGCGGATTCCCGGCCCCGAGGTGAAGCCCAATGCGGATTCCCGGCCCCGAGGCGAAGCCCAATGCGGATTCCCGGCCCCGAGGTGAAGCCCAATGCGGATTCCCAGCCCCGAGCTCCTCTGCTTTAGTAGGACTGTAATGCTGAACTTATAACTTTATTTCTTTATTTTTCTAATTTATACCTAAGATTTTGTACCTAAGCAACTTTGTATCTAAGATGACACCGGAAATGGCGACCTTGTACACTTCAGTACACGTGACAATAATACTATATTCTAATTCTGATACTTGACCATCACGTTATACAATAACGTGCAGATGTTGAAGCAATTTAAGCTCCATTCCCCTCTGATCTCATCTGGTGTGAACTGTAAACTTTCCACACAGTACTTTACAATAACTTCAATAACTACAATACAGTACTATAATCAATAACTTTACAAATCAAAATAAACGCTACAGCACTAAACCACACACATGCAATGCCCTTTTCTGAAAGAGAAGATCATAAAATCAGCAGATGTTTCAAAATCTCATCCCCCCACCACCTCTTCATCAAAAGGAGAGCTCCTACTATTATGGGAAGACACACGTACTTCCTTGCAGTTTTCCGACTTAGAAAAGTGAATCAGGTCATCATTGTACATGTCCTGAGTGTTGAGGAGATCACTGTATTCTTTCTGGCTCAAATCTTCTGGATTAATGCCGTTCGCTCGCAAGAACTCCTGGTAAGCGACACTAAAGGCCTGGCCTATGGACTGAGCTATTAACTGGGCCTACAGAGAAGGGAAAAAAAAAGGAAAGGAGCATAATTACACAGGATCTGCGCCAAACTTTGCATAATTAGGACTGCAACAGATTTAACAGCAAGATGACATCGGTTTTGTGCTTTTCAACAAGGAAAGCAAACATTTAAAAGTACCATGGTAGTCTCTTCCCCGTCTTTAAACAATGATTCTCAAGAAACCTTCAATCAAAACTAGCAATAAATAGCAAGACTTCAGTGACAATTTCTGACATCTGCCTGTAACACTGTTTCACGTAGAGAGTGTGCTAAGTTTATTTATAATCTTGCCTGTAGTTTTCACGGGGTGGTGAAAGGGGAGAGAGAAACAAAATAGAAATTTGGCAAAGAGGAAGCTGCAAGTTATTTTAGAAAAGCGCTGATGCCATGGAAACCATGAAATATCCACCACCTCACACAGAGTGCTCCGTGCCTAGCGGCACTAACAAGTGGACATCATAGTCAGGAGATCTGTCTCTGCAGAGTGGGTAATGAAGGAGCGAGCTGAGAAAGAGAGAATTGGAAGCAGACATTTACTTGGTGGGAAAACGCCATACAGGGGAGTCTCTCACAATCTCCTGGTGGCTCGACTGACGTGCCCCCACTCCATTCTATTCCCCCACCTCTCCACCGACTCAAATTAGTCAAGAGATTGCAACAATAAGCTGCATTTATGTAGCACTTTTAATGTAGTGAAAGGGGCTTCATAGGAGTGTTCAGAACAAAAGTTAACACCAAACCCCATTAGAAATTACTGCAACAAGCAGAGTTCACCAGACTTACACTCGAGATGGTGGGACTGTCATATTTTCTGAGACGGTGAGGTGACCAGGCCTGTATTTGCTGGAGTTTAGAAGAATCAGAGGCAATCTTACAGAATCCTAAAAAAATTATTAAAGGAAGAGACAAGGTAGATGCAAAGACGTCAGTTCCCTTGGCTGTGGGGTTTACAACAGGGAACCTAGCTTCAGAAAAAAAAAGAGACTTGCCGGTTAGTTCTGAGGGGAAATTTCTTCACTTAGACAGTGCTGTGGAAGGACAATCATTGAGGAAGTTCAAGACAGAACTTGATAGATTTCTAGATACTAACGACACCCAGGGACAGAGGGGTGTATTGGGAATGAAGGAGATGTGGTTGATGATGAGCCATAGTCTAGAATGGCCGAGTATGCTCAAGGTGCTGAATGACCCACTCCTGCTGCTATGTTTCTAAAACTTGGTCAAAGGGGTAAGTCGCCAGGATCCCTGCGTGTTGCGAGAATGAGGGCTGGAGAGGTGGTGAGGATCAGGGTGGGAATTCCAGAGTGTAGGTCTCAAGCAAGGGCAAAGTCAGGGATGTGTCGGTCGTCTGAACTGGAGAAGATACAGAGATCGCACAGGGCTGTGGGGCTGGAGGAGATTACAGAGGCAGGGTCATCACCTGGTTCGTGTAGCCCAGTGTAATCCTGTGTGGTGTCTTCACTAACACACTAGGGAGTTAGGAAGTTTCTTTATTTGTCTTGGTCCTTTATCTTGGCTCTTCTATGTCCTGTGCATTTTCAGGAGTATGAGCTTTTCTTTCACATATACCCATTCTTTCTTCTCTCCCCTCCCCCTGCCAACTTCTAATTACACAGATTTCCTTGCCAACACAAGAACTTGCAATTGTATGCCACCTTTAACAAAATTAAGCATCTAAACGTGCTCCACAAGTCATTATAGAGCAATACTATGTGATATTAGTTAGTTTTCAAGAAGCATTGAGAACTCTGTGCATAAAAGTCCAGTAATGGCTGTACCAGTGACAAGCAACATTCAAGAGAGAATCAATGCTGGTAGATGGCCAGGGGATAGGCAGCCCTGTGAGCTGGGTCTGTTCCCAGCCTATACTAACAGCCCTATAATTGGTGTTTGCTACAGCCCCCTCACTCACAGGTCAAGTTAGTAAAGTTAGGTCACATGGGATTCAGGGTGAGCTTGCCAGATGCATACAAAATTGGCTTAACAGTAGGAGACAGAGGGTGGTGGTAGAGGATTGTTTTTCAGATCGGAGGCTTGTGACCAGAGGTATTCCACAGGGATCGGTACAGGCTCCATTTCTGTTTGTCACTTATGTAAATGCTTTGGATGGGAATATAGGAGGCATGGTTAGTAAGTTTGCGGATAACATTAAAATTAGTAGTATAGTGGATAGTGATGAAGGTTATCTCAGATTATAAAGAGATCTTGATCAATTGGGTCAATGGGATGAGGAGTGGCAGATGGAGGTTAATTTCTAATTAATTAATTTCTGGTTACTAAGGTTTTGGAGTAGATCTGTAGCTCGGGTTGTGGGTGTTGAGGTTGGTTGGCTCACCGAGCTGGTTTGTTGTTCTGCAGACGTTTCGTTACCGTGCTTGGTAACATCCCCAGCGTAGACTCTGATGAAGCGTCGGTGTGTTTTCCCGCCTGGTTTTTAAACTCTGGGGTCCGTTGAGATGGATTGCCTCACTTCTGGGTTTCCTCCGTAGTGGAATGTATATGGGGTCGAGTTCAATGTGTTTATTAATAGCATGCTACGTGGAGTGCCATGCTTCCAGGGATTCTCGTGCTTGTCTCTGCCTAGCCTGTCCCAGGATCTTGGTGTTGTCCCAGTTGAAGTCGTGGTTCTCCTTGTCCATGTGGATTGAGATGAGTGAGTATTGATCGTGTCTTTTTGTAGCCAGTTGGTGTTCATGTACTCTTGTTGTTAGTTTCCTTCCTGTTTGTCCGGTATTTATGGAGCCGGTTGTGTGCGTCGTTTATCATTACCCTTACCATCTTGCGGCCATTTTGTTCTGCTGTTTTTCGGGCCTGTGGGTTGTTGATGGGTGGTTTGTACTTCACACTGCATTTCTAGTTAATTCCTCTCTGGTAGGCATTGCATTCCAAATTCTAATCACTCGTTGCACAAAGAAGCTTTTTCTCTTGTCATTTCTGATTCTTCTGCCAATCACCTTAACTTTGCACCTTTGAGCCATCGGAAATAGTTCCTTGCGGTGGAATCTTACAGGAGTCTGAGTGACATCAGCTACAGCACCATTTGTGGTAGAATTGGGGAAGTAGTCCAGTGTGGCTCATCCCAAGGTCAGGAGCATCTCATTCCATTTTTCATACTTTTCCTGAGCAGCTTGGTGAGTTTCACACTAGGCAGTGACAAGTTGTCGATTAAGGGGGAACTATTGCCTGTTTGAGCACCTTGTTAACGGCCCAACTCAACTCATTAACACTTGGTGTCCCGTCTTAACAAATGCACCAGACAAGATCGATGTCAACAAATTTGCAATGGAAATCAGAGCCTGGCAAATACAGCTGTTTGTTTATCCAACCCTGCTCCATGTTGCAAAGGACAAAACAGCATCTCAGGGTATGATCCACAGTCAGAGGCCACGTGCCCTCTTCATCCATGGACACTGCCATCCAGCATCTGACAACCTCTTATGGCCTGCGTGATGCAGGATGCTCAAGAAGCAAAGATCTGCATTGCAGAGCTCACCAGCAACTAGCATTGAACAGATAGAGCAAGGACTCTTGGCACACACGGAGGCACCAAACTCATAGTGTGGACCAGGCTACATCTCAGGGCTGCTCACTTTCTCTCTTAGCATTTGTACACTCAGTGCTAACCTGCATGATCATAGCATCCCTGCCTTGGCAAGTTCTGCTCTGTTAGTGCATTACTGCCAAACTGACATGCTTCTTTGCGTGCGCGCGCAAACACACACACACACATATACACACACACACACACACACACACACACACACACACACACACACACACACACACACACACACACACACAGAGCAGGGATCTGTCTGAAGGTGGGGGAAGGGTCACCTTGTTATATGGCACACACTGAGACATTAATCTAACACCAGCAGCATGTGCCAGCAACCTGCGCAGCAAACCCACTGCATATTTATTCAGCCAAATGGATAGGTCAGAAACTGAGTGGAGGCTGCTGCTTAGTCCAGTCAAAGGTGAGGGGGTGCTGTCTGTTGAGTGGGGGAGGGGAGGGGGGGTCCCAGGACCGTTGGTCATGGCCACAGTCCTCAAATATTCCAGGGGCTTGGTCATCATCAGTTGTCCACTCGGGCTGCTCAGGGTCAGGCGGTCTGTCTGACTATATTCCAGAGAGTGGATAATCCTTCTGCAGGAGCAGTGCCAAGCATGAGGCCAACTACATATTGTCCATCAGGGAGCTGAAACAGACTGTGGTCAGGGGTCTGATCAGTCATGCCTAGGGGTTGCTCATCAACATTAGACAGTGTGTTAAATACAGTCAGTCTGTTATTCAGATGGGTGCAAGGGTGGTCTGTAGGGTCAGCTGTGGGGGAATCATTGCCAAAGATGGCGGAGAAAATGCACTGGTGGGGACAAGGACAGTGATGTGACAGTGGGGAGAGTAGGGAAACTCCAGGTTCATGCAGGGTAAGTGGTAAGTAGTGGAGGGCATGGTGGGCTGCAGGAGAGGTTTAGTGGCAGTGACCACTACTCTGGCCTCCACAGGGGAAGCGCAGAGCTGCAGGTGTACTGCTGGGGCTCAGGGCTACCGAGTTCTCTTGCAGGCCAGGTTCAATGTGGTGGAAATGGGCTCTCCATGCAGTTGTGGTCATCACACCAGAATTCAGATTGCACTGTGACAGGTAAACTGCAGCTTCTGCTCATTTTGTTTGTGTTGTTTTAAAATAAAAGTGTGCGTCTGCATTTGTCTGAATATTTGCCTGTACATGAGTTTTCCCTGCTGGACAATGACAGGTACAGGTTTACAGTGGGCACTGGGGACAGGGTGGCACTGACTTAGAGGATGTCCAGATGGGGCATAGCTAGGGATAGGTGAAGTGTATGTTGTTAAGGTTAAACAGTTATAAGGCTGGGAGAATGGGCTAACTTGGACTCAGCCAAAAATAGTTAAGATTCAGCCCCTCTATTGAAAAACAATTAACGATTTTGAACATTTCTTTCAGACCTCCTCTTCACTTTCTCTGCTTTAACAGTTCCAGCTTATCTGATCTATCCATGCTACTGACATCCCTCATTCCCTGGAATAATTCTGGTAAATCCCTTCTGGAAAGACACAAGTGCTACATACGTCTTCAGACTCAAAGACGTGGCAGATCATCTTGTACTGCCTCTTCCCATCATGGGAAGGGTGAGACGCTTCCACACTGTCCTGGGAATTGGATCGAGGCATGCGTCGACGTGCCATCAGCACAACAATATTCCCAATGTCTGCGATGTACGAAATAGTCCGTAAGGGATGGTCCATCATAGTTTCCTAAGAAAAGGAATGGGAGAGTGACAAGGTAGAAATTGAGCAGAATGTTCAACAATACCAATAATGCCAGAACTAAAAATAAAATGTTCAAACAGTTTGTTGCAACATTCAGTTGTTTCTCCACTCTTTTCAAACTGCTCACCAGTAAGCTCTGAGGTTAAGTCTGATCTGCAATTTGAGGCAATTTACGGTAAAATCCTTTCACGCAGAAAACAATGTGTCTGTGGATCATCAGCAAGGCTATTGCATTTTTAGTGTCGAGTATGTAATGTACAATGGCAATATATTGCATTCAATAACCATCAGTTTCATAAGTTGGGAATGAGTTAGGACGTTTTTATAGGATTTAGGTTGCTCATGCTCAGGAGCATTCCATCACACACAATTTTAGCCTTACGTGCATCATTAGATAAGTAACCCGCCAACAGGCAACATGCCTGAGCCCAACACATAAAACACAAGCACTATCTCTTACACTGTCAGACATACAAACATGCATGACCCCACACACTCACCTACAGCAAGACACAAAGGTGCACAATTATACCCACCACACACACAAACATATACTCCTCCAGCCATCACTCAAACACCCACCACAAACATACCTATACACACACCAATGTACAGACACTCACCCAGCCACCGACAAACATCCACATTCACATACACACCCACCCACCAACATACACTTACCCAGCCACCACACACACACACACACACCAACAGCTACCCACCACAAACATGCACACCCACACCAACACACACGCCCACCCACTTACACATCCACCCACCAACATACATACAAACATCCACAAACACACCTAGACGTTGCCACAGACTCACCTACGCCCACTAACATAAGCACACATATACAGATGCACAGTTACACACACACACACACTCCGTATCCCCATCATACACATACTCTAACCCACACCAACAAACATATACACCACCCTGCACACCCGAACTTTGCCACATACGCTGACACCCACACCCAAACACAAATTGTCACCGACATTATAGGTACAGAACTACACCCACACACACCCACCTCTAGTCCCAGTGCATCATGTACTAACCAAAGCAGTGAACAGAAATTATCCCAGATTCCAGCACAATTTCACAGACATGCGACCATTAGCTAAATGGAAAATGCCAAAGCCTGTAAATCAAAAAGCTGGGTCCGGTGTACAAAATAATCTATCACAGAGGAAAGAGGTGATTAGCTGTCACTGGCCATGGCCACAACTCTCTGTTTATAGCTCACTGCTGAACCGCCCGACTGATGTGTTGAGACTGCCTTCCGTCAAATCCATCCAGTGGAGCCTAACTGATAGTGGCATGGCTCTCAGCAAAAGTACAAATAAAGCATTAAAATTTCCATTTCCTATAATAGCTTGGAGCTGGGTGGGAATGTCTGAGTCTCTGACCTCTTCCTGACCTTACACTGTCAGTTTGGACTGTTTGAGTGAGATTGTTTTGCTGAATAATTTGGTAATATGAGGCCATTTGGTCCATCATGCTGGTGCCAGCACTTTGAAAGAGCTGAAGTAGTCTAACCCCTCTCCTGCTTTCCTCATGCAAATGTTTCCCATTCGAGGATTTGTCCCCCTTCCTTTAAACAACTACCACTGAATCTGCTCCCACTGGCCTATCAGGCGGCAGGTTCACTCCTCTCTCCCTGCGCTCTACAATGGAAACTGCTTCTTTCTTTACCTGACAAAACACTTCTGTATTTTGGACAACCTTATCAAATCTCCCCTGAATCTTTTCACTGTGTAACTGGACCCTTATCACTGGGCACTGGCTGCAGTTAGTCTGCGGATTTGCTGTTTCAAATCAGTGCCTGCAGAAACTTTGGACTGGATTTGGATTTTAAGCCCCCTCCTTTGAGATTGATCTCAACCTGGTCAGCCCACTGGCAAGATGGCAAACACTGCGAGGTGGGCATCTTTTAGGTTCACCAGTTGCTGACCCACTCTCGCTAGAAATGAGATGGGCCAGGCAATAGGCTCCCCCAGTCTTTATTCCCAAATCCACCGAGTCCCCACCATATCAAAACAGGGTATCCCTCCTCTGCCAATGTCTTTCACTTTGGGTTATGCATTCATACAGGCTGAGGAGGAGGCCATTTGGCCCACTGAATCCACCTCTACTGTACAGCAATCCAATCAGTCCCACTCCCCAACCCAGCTCTGTACTTCTCGTTCAATTTCCATTTGAAACCATTCACCATTCTCCTTTCAACTCTTGTCCATAACCTTAAATCTCCAACACCACAGTCCTGTAATTTCAGCGAACGGGAGCAGCTAGTGTCCAGGGATGTGCAGGGTTACAGGGATAGGGTAGGGGAGTGGGTCTGTGTGGGATGGTCGGTGTGGAACTCAATGGGCTGAATGGCCTGCTTCCACACTGTAGGGATTCTATGATTGTCTACCTTATTTACACCTGGTCGCAAATTGAGAGGCGGTAGACCCATTTCCTTATCATGGTAAAATTAAACAAAGGAACATTCAAACAGGTTGTTTTATTTTTGCAATCAATTTGAAGTTTTGTTTTCAATCACCAATCGCTTTTGAGGATAAACACAGAACTTCAGTCCTGTCACTTACCTGCGAGTCAGCATTCAGCACCTTAATCCTCTGAGTCGAGATGAAGAGATCAACTTCAGTCATGGGCTGGGCCTCTCCTTCAGCTGCCTTTAATAGGAAAGTACACAATTCAAGAGATCATCACTGGGACACAACTGATATATGCAATCACTTGTAAAACACTCCTGACACTGCCAAAGCAAAATCACTGAGCATCCTTCAATTTTACTTTGTGTGCAAGTTTTCTATCAGTAATACTAACACAAAGGGAATATGCCTCATTCCGAACTTGGAAATTAGGATCTTGCAGGGAATAGGGAGGGGCCTTCAACTTCTCAAGTTTATTCTGCCATCTTATCGTGATGGGTCTTTCAACACCACCTTACAACCCTTAGCTCCTGAATATCCTGCTTCTAAACAAAAATTGCAGATTTTTCAATTGATTTCCTGCCCCAACAGTTTCTTTAGAGCACAGTGTTCTGGGTTTCCATTTCCCTTTGTGTGAACAAATGTTTCCTGGCTTCACTGCTGAAATCCTAGTTTTATTTGTTGGAATTATGCCCTTGCGTTCTGGACTTGCCCTTACATTAAAGCAATAAATCTTACTGCACTGAGTCCATGACATTGAACTGACAGGCAGGCAATTACCTGGAGCTTTAGTTAATACGGACTGCTGTGTCAATTTAATGCCAATCGATATTAAATTTGCACATATAGTGAAGAACGAGACAGAGATCCACATCAGCCAAATGTTCATGTATTTTAAGCTCAGTTAATGCGATTCGTTTGGATTGTATTTAAAAGGATAAAACGAAAGCGAGCTGGGTTTTAAATGTACTTTGAAAAGTATACATATACAATCCAGACAAACAAAAAAAAAAATTAGGCATGCAATATGTGTTTCAGTTAACATGTTGCATGACAAAATATAATGGATGTATCTTGTAGCTTATCAACAGGAAGCAGAAGTCAATGTTAAATGCTACCCATCAGAAGGCAGAACAAAATGCAGGCAAGTCACTCAGTGTTGGTTTTATGCATAAAAACAGGAAGCAGGCTATTCAGCCCCTCAAATTCATCCTGTCATTCAGTACGATCATGGCTGTTGACTCTGTCCACCTGCCTTGGTTCCAGTGCAACTTCATGCCCTGGTCTAGGAAAAATCTTTCTAATTCAGATTTAAAGTGGTTAATTGAGCTATCATCAACTGCTTTTGTGGGAGACAGTTCCACACTTTCACCACCCTCCGCACATAAAAAGTTTTTCCTAACTTCTCTTCTGAATAGTCAACTCTGATTTCATTGTCCCCTTATTCTAGATTCCATCTTACCAGCAGACAATACGTCACTCTAGTACTGGATAAACTCTTCAGGTCTGGCAGCATCTGTGGAGAGAGAAACTGTGTCCAATAGGACTCTTCTTTGGAACTCAGTTAACTCTGATTCTTTCTCCTCAGATCCTGCTGAGGTTCTCCAGCGCTTTCTGTTTTTAGTTCAGATCACCTGCATCCCCACTATGTTGCTTTCATTTGAATGTTTCTCTCTATTTAGCCTTTCAAACTAAACCTCAAACAAATCATTCTTTAAGTGTCTCTAGTCCAGGGGACGCAAGTGTTTTTTTTGCCATTTCATCTTATCACCTGAGCCTGGGATTCCCTAAGAGTTAAAAGAGCAGAAACAGTTTAAGTATATTGGTAAGTTTCCTATCCACACTGCAGGAATGATCATAAGCTGAAGAATGAGGGAGAAAATTTTTAAAAGATAATGACAAAAATGAAATGAAAACTTAGTTGAGATAAATCTAATGTGATAAGTTCAGTATTTACACTCAATTTATAGCATAAACTCAAGCCATTCAGCCCAATTGGTCCATATTGGCCTTCACCCAGTTACCTTATCACTCTACCCTTCTATTTCTTTCTCCCTCATATTTATCCAACTGCTCCTTAAATGCCCCCAATTTATTCAGCTCAACCATTCTTCATTTCAAGGCATCAACTCAGGAAGCAAAAAGGAGCTGATAAACAAAAATTACAAAATAAAAACAAACAAAAAACCTTTTTATAAAGTCTGTTTTGCGTGAGCATGAAATGCACACAATATGTTACATTCGAGAAGAAATAAGGTGGTAATGTTTTGCTTTGCTAGTGTCACTGGAGGGGAATGCAGGAGGTTTTAGAAAATAAAGTGAAACAAAAACCTTTGGAAATCATCCTTTTCCTGAGTTTATTTGGCAGTTGACAAAAATAAAGCTTTCAAAAAAAAACAAAGGTTTATTTCAAAGAAGTGAGAGATGCAAAAACATACAACCTCACATGAAAATATACTTTCAACGAAAGCAGTGAAAAGTGTCAATTTTTTGTATCTTAAAATAATATGCAAACTTTCTGCATCCAGCAATCTGCAGAGAGTCAAAGCTGGGGGCTAGTGGGGAGGATTGACTTCCTGTCATGTGAGGTACCTGGGAAGTGGGGCTGGGATGAGAAAGAAAGGGAAATGAAAGATTGATCTGTAGATATTGCTAAATGATAACAAAAAACAGTAGACTGCTTGACAATATCAATTAAAATGTCACCATTTAAATATGGTGCAATTTCAGTTGGCACTTGGTAGACTCAAAAGGGAAAAAAAATAGCTTAAATGAAGGAAGCAAAGTGCTGATTACTCAGTGTGATTTGAAAAGCACAATTGCCCTTTCCAAGTCCTTCAACTTCCTGAAACTGCGAGGCCATGAAATTTACAACAGCACGCTTGAGAAAGTTGTATCAACTAAAGGTTCAATGGTGCTTAACGTGGACTCCGGTAGTCACCTGCAAGCAAGAAGCAAACAAGGTGACAATTGACTGAAGTGTGCAGGTCTCTCTGGATGCAGAAATGTAAGCAAAAACTTTCTTTTTAAAAAGAAACAGAAGTTTTAATGAGTTAACAAAAAAAAGCACATAACAAAGCAAAATGCAACTGGCACAACATCAAACTAATGAGGTACTACACCTTCTTCCTGTTTTTGGTCAATTTCTGGGCCATCTGTTTCGCATGGAATAGACAAGAGATAGGAGAATGGTTAGAGTCAAACTGGCAGACAAACTTGTTGAGAAGCAATTACAGGTTGAAGAAGTCTGATTGGCACACAGGACGGGACACGCAATTGTAACAAAAATAAATAAGAACATAAGAACACAAGAACTAGGAGCAGGAGTAGGCCATCTGGCCCTTCGAGCCTGCTCCGCCATTCAATAAGATCATGGCTGATCTTTTCGTGGACTCAGATCCACTTACCCGTATTCTCACCGTAACCCTTAATTCCTTTATTGTTCAAAAAAAATCTACCTTTTCTTTAAAAACGTTTACTGAAGTAGTGTCAATTACTTCACTGGGCAAGGAATTCCATAGATTAACAACCCTCTGGGTGAAGAAATTCCTTCTCAATTCAGTCCTAAATCTGCTCCCTCTAATCTTGAGGCTATGCCCTCTTGTCCTAGCTTCACCTGCCAGTGGAAACATCCTCTCTACTTCTATCTTATCTATTCCCTTCATAATTTTATATGTTTCTATAAGATCCCCCCTCAATCTTCTGAATTTCAATGAATATAATCCCAATCTACTCAGTCTCTCCTCAGAAGCCAACCCCCTCAACTTCAGAATCAACCTAGTGAACCTCCTTTGCACCACCTCCCGTGCCAATACATCCTTTCTCAAGTAAATCGTAGCAAGTCTTTTGATTGTTGATTTTCACATGAGAAGTACAAATGTTCATGGGGACATATATCTTCCTTTGTAAGCTTTTAGTTAAATGGGAGGCAGAAAATGTTGGATTTGAGAAAAAAAAAATCACTTTCCAAATATAACTTTCACAACATCAAATAAGAGAAACAGAATCCAAGATTATGTGACACTGCCCCACAAATACATTGGATTATGTAGTCGTACCGGCCATTTGGCCCAACAGTCTATGTCAGTGTTTACGCACCTTAAAAGCCTCCTCCCAACCTGCTTCATCTCACTCTATCGACATATACCCTTTGATTGCTTCCATTCTTTCTCCATCATGTGTTTATTTTCTCCCCCTTAAATCTACCTACACTGTTCACCTCAACCACTCCTTGTGGTATACACTTCCACATTCTCAAGGCTCTCTTGATAATGGTGCAATTCTCCGCCGCAATGCCTTGACCAATCAAGTTAATTTGTCGGCTTGGAATTTAAACAAAAGCTTGGATGCCAAATGCTTCCCCATGCATTCTCCATAGCAACATCTCCACCAATAGCATCAGCACCCTCTTTGCATGCAGTATAAATTGTTGCTCCCTTCGAGATTTGGTATTCTTGTGATTCTGCCCTGATAAGTGCTGGTCAAAAAGCTTTGATAGCATGTCTCTTTTTGTTTTACAGCAATACTAAAGCTCTGTACAAACGTGTAACTACCTCTCTTGAATTCCTTAACAGTGTTATTAGTGTCCATCCTATACTTATGGCCCCCTAATTCCAGTCTTACCCATAAGTGGAGACATCCTTTCCAGGTGTAGCCTATCAAACCCCTCATAGTCTTAAGGACTTCTAGTAGGTCATCCCTAGCCTTTGCTTTTCTAGGAGAAAAAGTCTCTGTTTAGACATTTTCGATTGGAATAACCACTTCATTGTAGTATTATCCTGCAAAATCACTTTTGCAACTCTCTGGCATCACTAAACTCTTTTTAATAACATGGATATCAGAACTATACAGAGTATTCAAATGGAGTCTAAGCAAGGTTCGATACAAGTTTAATATAACTTCTCAATTCTATCCCTCCAGTAAGAAACCCCATTACTTTGCTTGCCTTCTTTTAAATGGCCTTATTAACCTGTGATGCTTTTTTTTTTGTGATTTGTGTATCCAAATCAGAGATCCCTTTGTTTCTCGACCCCACTGAGACTCTTGCTTTTCCAAAGACTACGTGGCCTCCTTTCGTTTCCACCCAAATGCAGCACATCAGAACAATCTGTAATCAAATCAATTTGAGAAAAAAAGAAACAGACAGCTTGAGCGGTTGGTAAATGCCCTAACAACCTGGCTGTGATTGTGATTTTCTATTTCTCAAAAGTAGGTCACTCTTTATTAGGAATGCTTGTGTGTGGAAGAGGGAGGAAGAAAACAGTTTGAATTCTTGGGCAGTTTTATGGTAACTGATGCCAATACTGAATGGCTGGCACCTCACATGCACACTGAGGACTGAAAGAACATAAAGAATGGAGTGTTCAGATTATCATCAAAGAGGATAAAGGCTTCACGAAGCAAGAACAGCTCCTAATGTGAAAGGCACATTTAATCAACAGCTCAGTTAATGAATTAAATGCTGCAAAATGAAACATGTGAAATTTCAACATCATAGCTAAATTTACCAAATGTCAGAATCGCCAGACAACCTGATCTGCCACCAAAGAAAAGTTTTAGCTACATATTCAAGCATAGCTGAAAATCAGCCAGTGAAGAACGCTTTTGAGGAGTGTAAAGGCAATACTGTTAATAGTTGCATGAGATTAGAAACAAAAAGGACACAGATTTCAGAGAATTAGCAAAAGAACAAGAGGGGAGATGAGAATTCTTTTCTCAAATACAAGTGTGAATTGCTGTGATCTGTAATGTACTGCTTGAAAGGGCAATGGGAACATTCAGTAACAGTTTAGAAAAGGGAACTAGGTATAGATTTGCAAAGCAAATATTTTGAAGGTTAAAGGCAAACAGCAGGGGTGCTGGAACAAAGTGGATAATTCTATCAATTTGTATTCAAGAAACGGCTGGATATAGCACTTGTGGCAAATGGGATCAAAGGTTATGGGGAGAAAGCAGGATTAGTTTATTGAGTTGGACAATCAACTATGATCGTGAAGAATGGCAGAGCAGGCTTGAAGGGCCAAATGGCCTCCTCCTGCTCCTATCTTCTATGCTTAATGAACCAGCAGGGTGGACTGAATGGCCTCATTCCATGTGGTATCATTCAATGATTAAAATAATAGAAGCTTATTTTATGTTTTAACTCAGTCCACTCAGACTGTTTGAAGCAGTGTTTGCAAAACTTCCAAAACCTGTAGCAAATGGAACTAGACTTGGAAAAAATTTCTTTGGTTTGAATAATCACGGTAATACCATAATTTTGTTTTGTTCATCAATAAACTAAAAATAAATCTATGATTAAATATTCTTAAAATGCACAATGCATCATTTTACGGCAACATTTTTTTTAAGAAGTGACAAAGGCAATTGTGTATGTAAAAGATATATTTAACTTCATTATGGAGAAAGCACATCAATTTTGCAATGCCTCAATATTTTAAATATGCAGGAAGCATTAACCATATGTGAGAAAATTGCGGTGGAGGATTATGACGTGGCAGCAATCTTAATTGTCAAGCAGGTGATTCGGACATGACTGTTAATACATAACACAGGGGTTCCAAAATTATCTTTAAAACCCTTTAGGGTTTAATGCAAACAGATACAGCCTGTCCACCTCATATTATGTTTATTGCAGCCTTTGTTAAACAATCTGCAGCTCTTCGAAACAATTAAAACATGTAGAACTGCACTGAATGTACAGAACAAAACTAGGCCATTCAGCCGTACCATGTTCTGCTGTTTACATTTTATCTGAGTCCTCTCCTACTCTATTCAACATTCCCCATCAGCATATCCTGTTTCCTTTCTCCCTCATGTGGTTATCTAGCATCCCCTAAAATGCATCAATGCCATATGCCTCTTTCTGTGCCATGATTTCTACATTCCAATTCCTCTCTGGAAAAATAGCTTCCCCTGAATTCCCAATTGGATTTATTAATGACAATATTATTTTGATAATATTTCGTTTAGGACTCTCCCACAAATGAAGACATCTTCTCACCTCCTACCCTACTGCACCCATTCATAATTTTAAAGAGCTCTGTTGGAGGACCCCTCAGCTTTCATTTTTTTCAGGGGGAAAAAAACATCAGTCTGTTCAGTCTTTCATACAAGTTCCTTTCCTCCCAGTTCTAATCATGGCGTTTGTCTAGCATCACCATCAAACTGCATAAACTCCAGAAAAATGAGAAGTCCATGGAGGAGAACATGAAACAAGGGTCAATTTTGTTTGATTTGATGACTGGATCTGTGGAAAACAAATTGTGTCCATGATGATGGATGTTAAATGGAGCAGATGTTTACCATTAAAAAGAAAAATGCAGCCCACAAAAACTGTGAACATTCATACCCAGTCCCCTATCTAAATTAGGGCAATGTAGATTATCTGTTGATACTATTTTACTTAGACATTAATTACAAAGGCCCAGAGATTCCTATTCAAATCACAGAAAATTTAATAGCAATAACCCTACTGATGTCTTAATCACCTAACAAATTGTGCTATGGCACAGATTCCCTGGGAATTGCAAACTGACACAAGTTGCTGAACATATTGCCAATAGCTTTGTGAAAATATCAGCCTGCCCTTCACCTCTCTGAGAATTTGATGAAATTGCTAAACTTTAGTTAAATGACCTATTAAACACACCGCAGGAAGTCAGGGACTGTATTTAGCCCATTTAAGGAGGAGAATTTTTGTTTTCCAATACTACTCAACCTGTTTGGCACAAAAGAGAGCAGTTTAAACTGTGGATTCTCATTCCTGAAGCTAGTGAGTTGTTGGAGATTTTTAAAAATACTTTCTTCTCCTTCCTGTCCTTGATCCAATTCTTACTAGTTCTTCTGTCTCATTCTTAATTTTTAAATCTCATTGACAGATAAGGATGCTGATTCTGTCATTTTTGTAAATCTCAGATATTCTGTTTCCTGTGTTGCACTGTTATCAGCTCATGCACCTAGTAATTATGGCTGAAAACATGTTAAGAGTTAAAGGGTGAAGGGGAAAAGCCTAACTAATAGGCATTACGTTCCAAGAAAATTCAGACAGATATACTTTTCAGGAGGTGAGATGGGACACTATCTGGATTAAAGACTGACTACTCTACATGTGAAGATTGTCCATCAGATTCTGATCCTGTGATTTTTCCAATTGCAGTGTACAATACAATTGATCCACTACGTTTTCAAAAATGTGTGGTGCTCTCAATTGTCACAAATAATTTACCAATGCAAAACAATTGAAGGTAATTCAACCCCTCAAGCATATTCTGCCATTCAATATTAATCATTAGATTATACATATGTTGGGTCGACTGCCAACAGTTGGTAGGCCTGCTCATTAAACCGAGAACATTTTAATCCCTCTGGGAAAAAATGATCAACTAAATCCACAAGAGGATTAAAACTAGATTTTTAAAAATCAACTGCACTGTAATTTACAATATTGACTATTTAATGGTTCACAGAATATCCTGAAAGATTCATTTCACAGAACTGTGCACAGTTGGAAAATGCTATTGCTTGCAATCATGGAGTGTCTGAAAGGAAAGCAGGTGCATTTCATAATTAAATCTTTCAGGCAAAAAGCTATGAGGGAAATAAACAAGTAGTCCTCTGCATTCAACTGGGATTACACAATAGAGACTAAATGACTGATGAATTTTAAGAGGTTGTGTCTGAAGTTGTCCAGACACTTCAGTCAAGAACATTTCAACTCAAATTTATGAACAGTATTGCCCTTACTGTAGATGGATCTAATGATTGGAAGGCACCTCAATAACTATGGATAATCCTTGCCACAACCTGAGGAAACACATAAACTAAGAGCAGGCATAGGCCATTTGAGTCTATTCCACCATTTAATATGATCATGATTGATCCTCTATCTCAATTCCTTAATCTTGCTTTCTCTCCACACCCCTTGATGCCTTTAAAATCTAAAACTACCTATCTCTATCTTGAATATATTCAGTGACTTGGTCTGAGCTATATATGGAAAGGCTGAATAGGCTGGGGTTATTGTCTCTGTAGCACTGGAGGCTGAAGGGTGACCTTATAGAAGTTTATAAAATCATGAAGAATATGTAGAAGGTGAGTAGCAATCGTCTTTTTCCCAGGGTTGAGGAGTCCAAAACTAGAGGGTGGTACATGTATGGAAGGAGCTGCCAGAGGAGGCGGAGGCGGGTACAATTAAGACAGTAAAAAGGCATCAGGATTGGTACATGAATTGGAAGGGTTTAGAGGGATATAGGCCAAATGCTGGCAAATTGAACTGGATCAGTTTAGAATCTGATCAGTAAAGATGAGTTGGACCAAAGGGTCTGTTTCTGTGCTGTATAGCTCTATGACTCTACAGCCATTTGTGGTAGAGAACTCCACTCTTTGAGTGAAGAAATATTGCCTCATCTTAGTCCGAAATGGTCTACGTTCTATTCAACGAAAACAGCCTCCCTGCAGCTAGTCTATCCAGAATCAAAAACAAAGTTGCTGGAAAAGCTCAGCAGGTCTAGCAGCATCTGTACAGAAAAAAATCAGAGTTAACGTTTCAGGTCCAGTGACCCTTCCTCAGAGCCGGACCCGAAATGTTAACTCTGATCTTTTTCTTCACAGATGCTGCCAGCCAAGCTGAGCTTTTCCAGCAACTTTGTTTTTGTTCCTGATTTACAGTATCCGCAATTCTTTCGGTTTTTAGCTAGTCTATCCAGATCTGTTAAGAGTTTTACACCTTTCATTCTCGTACATAAAACAACACTTTCTTTCCCTTACTTTGTTTTCTCATAAGGAAAACTGCCACAATGACACCGAATCATAACAGTGTGCGGACAAGAGGAAGACAACACTAGGGAAGGGGCAAGAGAAAATGAGAGAGTAAAAGAAAGACGGCAAGACGGTCAGATAGAGAAAAAGGGGGGGAAAAGATGAGAAAGAGAGCATGTTGAGTGAGTGGAAGAGAGATCCAGGAGAGCGAAGAAAGAAACAGAAATGGAGAAAGACGGGCTAAAGAGAGAGGAGAAAGAGAGGAAAGAGACAGAAAGACTTACACTTCTATAGCACTATTCCATGATTGTTTACAATTTACATCAATGATTTAGAGTTGGGGACCAAGAGTAGTGTGTCAAAGTTCACAGATAACACTAAGATCAGTGGTAAAGTGTGCAGAGGACTCTGAAAGTTGCAGAGGGATGTAAATAGTTTAAGTGAGTGGGCAAGGGTATGACAGATGGAGTATAATATTGGTAAATATGAGGTCATACATTTTGGTAAGAATAATTGCAAAATGGACTATTATTTAAATAGTGAAAAATTGCAGCATGCTGCTGTGCAGAGGGACCTGGGTGTCTTTGTGCATGAATTACAAAAGGTTGATTTGCAGGTGCAGCAGGTAATTAAGAAGGCAAATGGAATATTGTCCTTCATTGCTAGTGGGATGGAGTTTAAAACTAAGGGGGTTATGCTGCAGCTATACAGGGTGCCGGTGAGGCCACACATGGCGTACTGTGAAAAGTTTTGGCCTCCTTACTTGAGAAAGGATGTACTAACACTGGAGGGGGTGCAGAGGAGGTTCACTAGGTTGATTCTGGAGTTGAGAGAGTTGGCTGTTGAGGAGAGATTGAGTGGATCGGGACTATACTCATTGGGATTTAGAAGAATGAGGCGGTGGATCTTATAGGAACATATATAATTGTGAAGGGAATAGATAAGATAGAAGTAGGGAATTTGTTTCAACTGGCAAGTGAAGCTACAACTAGGGGGCAGAGCCTCAAAATAAGGGGGAGCAGATTTAGAACCGAGTTGATGAGGAACTTCTTCACTCAAAGGATTGTGAATTAGTGGAATTCGCTGCCCAGTGAAGCAGTTGAGGCTTTCTCATTGAATGTTTTTTAAGGCAAAGATTGATAGATTTTTAAAGAGTCAAGGAATTAAGGGTTATGGTGAACGGGTAGGTAAGTGGAACTGAGTCTCAAAAAGATCAGTCATGATCTTATTGAACGGCAGGGCAGGCTCGAGGGGCCGGATGCCTACTCCTGCTCTTATTTCTTATGTTCTTATAACTGCAGGATCTTACAAAGCACTTTGCTGCCAATGAACTAACTTAGGGAGTGCAATTACATCTGTATTGTAGGAAACCTGGCAACCAGTATGTCACTCTGGGCAGTGAGTGCTAGACTGGTCTGTACTATTCAGAGTAACACAATGTGAGAATGAAACCACTTGTTCTTTGAGATAGTGGTTCTGCTGAAGGCTGAATTAAACTCCACCCAACCTGGTAGTATCATAAGGATTTGGGTGAGGAAAAGTAGACCAGTCTGGCTCTCGAAGGCAATAGACCTACCGCCTTTGTCTCATTATAATTTTTGTAAAATTGTCCAGTATACCTATTTACCTTTTAGCTAGTTGCTAACATGCAATAAACTATGCCTTGTTTTAGACAAAAGCCTCTTCTTGTTAAGACTACCCAGTGGTTTTTCTCTACCACGTTAGACAAAACAGTGCCTATATATCCCAATGTAAAAGGAGGATGGTGGCAGAAAATCTACATTATAGTGACCAGGAGTCCAGCTGCCTCCTACAACACAAAGCCAGCAGTGGCCATTTGAAAATATAATTTAGCTACACCATTATAGCATCGACAGCAGTGTGCATTTACCCAGTAAAAATGTCCCAAGGCATTGCATATTCCTGGTCATCAAACAGAACTTTAACACCAAGGCACATAAAGAAATATGGGAATAGATGGTCAAAGCTTACTCAAAAAGGTAGAACCAGAAAATCTGCTTTTACATCAGCCCGAGAGGGCAGAAGGATTCTCGGTTTTAATGGCTCATCTTAGAGACGCCCGAGTCATCATTAAGCAAAGCCATATGTACACCCAGTTGAATCTTGGTGAATAAGTCAAAAAATTGGAAACAAATTTTCCTTTTGGTGCTGGCTTCCATCCTGCTGTTTGCGCAAGTAAATTCTCGTCAATTCTGAAAGTTTAAAGTGCGGATAATAATCGTCAAAGACGAGTTAAATGGCCACTGGCTTACTATGCAGAAGGACGTTATCACCTTGATTCTGCTGACTGCCTCCTGGGCTTGCATCATCCGCACGTTCTTGGATGGGGTTTTGTCCGAGAGCAGCTGGGTGGAGCCCAGGTAGTTGGCTGCAAAGATGATGCCATCAATCAGATCTTCCGGGTCACATGGTCCAGGTACTGCAAACAAGCAAACAAAAACAGTTAACCTCTCCAGTGAAAAACTGTAATGAGAAAGAATTTTGATGGATAACTTTTGGGCTAGGTGGCGTTAGGAAACAGAATTCATGATGTCTTTCTGGGTCAGTCTTTAATCTTGGCGATAAGTTTTCTTTAAAAAGAATTACTGTAATAAAACTAAAGCGTTCCCAGAAACTTAAATGCTTTCTTTATGATGCCCCTCAAGATTTTTTACCAAACTATTGTTTGTGGGAGTATCCAAAAGGTTAGTCTTTCATTTTTAGGCACTTCAGGCTAATCCTATTGGATATCCACAACTGCTGCCCTCTGTTCTCCACTGAATAAATTAAACCAGAAATAGTTTACAACAGCCCCTTGTCATCAAAATGTCATACTTGATGGTTCTACCTCTAGTCTATTTCTTATTTAATCTTAACAACAATCTCACTGAACATTTTGACAGCACAAATGTATCACAATTAAAATTATTCATCTACCACTTTAGTCGTTGCATATGAATCATTATTCAACTGCCTAAAATAATGCCATCTGATTGTCACCCCGGAGTCAGACAATAAAAAGTATGCCCCTGTATTCTTTATAATCCTGGACAATTAGTTAACAGATGGCTACACGGAAGGTACAGACCAGAAACAGACCATTCGGCCCAAGTGGTCTATGCTCTTCATGAGCCCCTTTTCACTCCCTTTGGGAGCAGACCACATGGTCTGTCAAGCCTGCTCCACCATTCAAAATGATCATGTTTGATTCTGGGCTTCCCCAACTCCATGTTTCCACCCGCTCCCCATATCCCCAGCTGAGCAACAATCCTTTTATCTCAGCTTTAAGTAAAGTGGATAATGGGACAATCTGCTGACATGAGGAGGATTCCAACGATTCGCCAACTTTCCAACTTCTCCTCCTGTCAGTCCTAAATATTTATCCCTTACCCGGAGACTGTTGCCTAGTGTTCTGGGTAGCCCACATGGGGAAGTAACCTCTCCGTGTCTAATGTTCCATGAAAACAATGTGCACACAGTTTTCTTTTCCACAAATTACAACTGTCAGAACACAGAAACAAGAGTTGAAGATTTAGACTTTGCAGCCTGCTCTGGTCCTTTTATTCCTTTCTTCCTAATGTTTCTCTAGCTTCTCCTTAAAGAATTTTATTTTAGTCACTGAGCTGTCATTCCCCATACAGCTTTATATCTAAGAAAACTCTTCTAACCAAACTATTTACACAATTTACACACACCAAATGCTTCCTTCCTGCATGTCTCTGTATATTTCAGAACCACCACATCTGAAACAATAATATAATTGTTCAGGAGAATCATTGAACAAATATTACTTTCTTGACTTTAAAAAACTTCTTTTCTTAGGATGTGTATATTCTATTCTTTTTTTAAAACCTTTCCCCTCACTGGGACTAAACATTAACAAATCCTGGAAGGGTTTCTATAGCAGCTTTCAATGTCTCAGGAAATTCCAAAAGGCATTACGACCAATGCAGCACTTTTGAAGTCCAGTCGCTGGGTGCGATGTAGAAAACAAGACACTTTACACACAGCAAGTTCCCACCAATAGCAAGGCAAAAATACAAGGCGAGGTATCTTTTTTTGCCTTGTAATTGACAGTCTTGGCATCTTTTCAATCCAACTGACAGGTTTAATCATTCATCTCAAACATGGCACCTCAGACAACTCAGCACTTCTACAGTACTGGCACTGGCTGTGGAAATCTCAATAGTGTGCTTGAGTATCTGAAGCGGAATTTGACACCGCGACCCTTGAGACTCTGGCCTTTTTTTTAAAAACGTCTATTAAATAGTCTTAAGGGAGAAAATGTTAGGCCTGTGCTGGGATGGGTCAGCAGGGAGGGGGTGGGCACAGCTTTCAGATCTGACATCTACACCCCCATGTGCACATGTGGTGGGCAGGCAGTGCATGTGAACATTGTCCAGGGGCACAGTGAGTGGGCATTGCCAGGGAGGGGGACAGGCTTTGCATCTTTGAAGGTGAGACAGAGGGAGCAGTGTCACAGATGAGGGAGGGTGAGCATTGTTGAGTTGTGTGGGGGAAGATTTGTTTTTAAGATTTTTCCAATACAGCCTGCCCTACACCTAAGATTAACAGCAGGAGAAGGTTTAGGTAATTGGCTGAGTACGTATCGAGTGCAAGCCTCCGAAACGAAGATATTCTCGGAGGGACCTGGACAGCACAGTGCTTCCCATCAGAAGTTTAAGCTTTCTGGGTAAATATAGCACATGCACAGTAAGGGACTTCCTCATGGTCCCAATGCAAAACAGTAGCAAGTGTCTCAATATTCAACACTTCTGTCATTAGAAAATCTAGACCGATTTATCCAACACTGCGCAAGAATACATACACAGTTGCATATAAACAAGCTTCAAAGTGATAAAGAGCAATTTCTACAATCAATAACATTCAAACTAAAAAGAAAACAAAAGCAGAAATAATTCCCCCAAATTAAGGGCAAAAGTCTTGTTCACATTAACAGTAACTGCAACACAGAGATTTCTCAATTTGCTCTAAAATAGTTAGAAAGCATCTTACCTTCAACGTAAGTTGGAAAGGAAGCCAAACACTTTCTTGACTGAAAGTAAGACAGGAAAACAGCTTCAGACACCACACACTATGCTCCATATAAATAATTAGCTTTTTTCAAAAGCATTTTAATCCAACATGATGACACCACTTCACATGCAGTACTATAAATCCAATTAGTTTCACAGACTAGAAAGCTGCAGGGCAAGAGCCATTGTCAAAATTCATAGCACGTTAAATGAACAATAATTTTTTTGGAAACAATTTCAATTGAGGTGCTTATAATGCTACGGGGTCAAAACAGTAAATGGGAAGGAGCTATTTCTGTTAGCAGAGAGGTCAATGACTAGAGGCACTGGTTTAAAGTAATTAGTAGGTAGTTTAGAGGGAGTTGACGAGATTATTTTGTCACCTAGAGGGGCATGGTGCTTCTTGAATTCAGTGCCTGAACGGGCAGTGGAAGCTGAACCATTTGGCACATTCATAAAATACTTGGGTACGCGCTGCTCATGGCGCAACATTCGGGGTTATGAACCAAAAGGTACAGAGTGGGACTAGACTGAATAGAGCTTTGTGAACTGGCAAAGACACAGTGAGGTGAATGGCCTCTTTCTCTGCTGTAAGTTCCTCTATTTCTACTTTCAACTTTTGATGAATTAACGTCGAGGAAAAGAAATCACCATGACCGTCAACTTGAAACATTAACTCCCTTCCTCCATCCACAGATTCTATCTGACAAGCTGAGTATTTCCAGTAATTTTTGGATGACTGAATGTATTCCCAAAGAAGTTGCTCAAAGTTTGTTGTCTTTAAAAGCGTATGTTCATTGGATAGCCAACAAACGTGAATTATAAGATAAACCATAAGAATAAAAGAACTGGAGGAGGCCATTCAGTCCCTTACACCTGCTCCGCCATTCTGTAAGATCATGGCTGACCTATGACCCAACATTGTATGAGCACCACCGATCCAACAAGAATTTTTCAAAATGTAATCTGCTGTTGATAAGTAAAGGTAGATTAAAAATAATTAATTATGAAATACAGGGTAACTAGAGGATAAGGACTTTACTAACTGGCAATAGAGCCCAAGAGTATAATTGCTTTATGCAGTGAGATCCTGTGATCTGGAATGTGCTGCCTTAAGCAGGTTTAATAGTGTAATTTTCAAAAGTAAAGTGGATAAATAGTTGAAGGGGAGAAAACTGCAGCGTCATAGGGATAAGAGTAGGGAAATCTGTATTTGAGAATTTTATCTGGTATAAATTATGCAATTGTCTTCAACAACAGTGGACAAATGTTTGTAAAGGTGCTCCCTTCAACTCGCAATCACTTTAATGAAATTTTAAATCAATGTCCCAACAACGAGCATTCTGAAGAATTCAGTTCATTCATTAGAAAAACATAACAGTTTAGAATCAGGCATGCAATCTTTAAAATGACAGATCAGCGAGGGACTACTTTAGAAACATGAAAGAAAATTATAATATATAAAGATACTCTGAAAAAACTGAGGGCAGGAAGCTCGAGACTCCAACGATAGATAATCAACAACTTAACAGGCAATGAAACTCATAAGACAAAGCACGAGACCACCCAGTAAATTAAATCCTTTATGGTGCACATCTGAAGCATTAACCCAAGAGTAATAGCACTTTTAAAGATAAACTCATTGACCTCTGGGCACAGCCTATAACATGCTGACTTGTGTTTCCAGGATGTCTTACGGTTTATCTTAACAAACTAATATGTTCAACTCATGCTGCATGAGTTCATTCTAAACAACACAAAACTGATTTTGTTCTAAAATCACTCCCTGTGTTCTATTCATGAAACAGACAGGAACACCAAGACAAATGGTATGTTAGTCACAAGGAGTTAGATAACAGGACTATAAGAAACAGGGATAGCAGGAACAAGAGCAGGATTAGGAGATTTGCACACACCCCTCCCACCACTCCCCAGCTTGCCCCACCGTTCAGGAAGATCATGTTGAACAGATTATTGCATTAACTCCTTTTTGTTGTCTGTCCCCCATAACACTGGACTCCCTTATCAATCTAACTCAGCCTTGAGTATATTCAAGATTCCAGCCTCTTCTCAACCCCAGGGTGGAGAATTCCAGACTCTAAATAGCCTCAGAGAAAATAATTTCCTTTTCATCTCAATCTTCTTACTTTTAATGGCTTCCCCTCATTCTATTCAAAAGGGGAAATATGGGCTCAGTAATTAACCAGTCAGGCCCCTTCAAAATCTTATATGTTTCAACAAGAGCACCTCTCATTCTTCTAAATTCCAATGCATAGGCTTAACCTGTCCTTATAAGGCAGCCTGTATTTCCAGGAATCTGCCAAGGAATTTTTGTTGAAATGTTTCCAATTATATTGTGCTTTAAGTAGAAGACCGAACTGCACATTGTAGCCCAGATGTGGTCTCTCTAAAGCTTTCTGCAACCGTAGTAACACTTTCCTACTTATATACCTAATTCCTCTTGTAGTTAAGGTGAACATTTCATTTGCTTTCTTAATTATCGGCTGTACCTGTGTATGTACATTTTGTGATTCATGTACCGTTTGGGGGTTTAAGGGTAAAGAGTTTCGGGGGAAAGAAGTCAGTGCTGCTGTTGGACAGGGCTTTTGACCTGTGTGCCAAAGGAATGATGTACTTTGTTTTAAGCTTTATCCTTTCATGGGATCATGGTGATGCTGCCAAGGCCAGCATTTGCTTCTCATCCCTAAATGCCCTCAAAATGATTGGCTTATTTAGACTTTTCCAGTGGGCAGTGAGGAGTCAGCTACATCGCTGTGGGTAGGAGGCACATGTAAACCAGAACGGGTGGATTTCCTTCCTTAAAAGACATGAGTGAACCAGCTGGCCTTTTGCAACAATGGTTGCCGTTAGGCTGGCTTTTATTTTCAACATTCAAATTTCACCATCTGCCACGGTGGGATTCAAACCATGTCCCCAGAACATTTCCATTCCAGTGACATTCCCACTGCCTCACCTAATACTTGCCCTGAGGAGAAGCAACAAAGATTCACTGAATCAGCTTCTGGGATGAGAAGGTTGCCCCTCAAGAATGGATTGAGCAGAACAGGTTGATACTTTCTGCAGCTGAGAAGAATAAAGGTATGGCCCAACTGAAACTTAAAATTCTGAGGGATGTTTTCTCTGGCTACATCAACGGGGTTGGATATTAAGTACTCCTGCTGGGTGTGCCTTGGGACGGAGGAGGCTATGTACTGTGAAAGGGGGAGTGGGAATCCCACCAGCTTCCTACACACCCCTGAGCTCGCCCACAATATGGGGAGTGGCTGCCCACCAAAATCAGAAGCCCACCTATGACATGTAAATAAACATTTGGGGGAATTAAGGGCTAATCGGGATCAGACAAGAAAGTCACACTGACGTTGTAGCTCAGCCATGATCGTGGTGAATGCTGGATCGTTTTTGCTTCCCAACTCTTCACTGTTACGTTCTTTCTGATAGGAAGGGTTTTGGGATGAGTCGAACCACTAACAAGCAAAATCATTTCAGAGAAGACAGGTCATGTTGCCTGCAGAAAGCTACCCATGTGGCCAGACTGACAACCCTCAAACAAACTGATCAGGCAGAGAATGGCCTCTTCAACACTTCAGGTCCAATCTTTCTTTCTTCAGTTTGTCACCTTCCCAACGGCTGGTGGTCACTTTAAGATTGACGGTGTTTGAAGAGAAGCGTTCAGTCCACTCGCGCAGCAGGCATATCTGTATGGCAAGGCTGGTGGGCGAAAGCTGAACAGGACTGGCAGAGATTCCACCAGAGGACACTGCCCTGGCATTAATAGCAATAGTTGGGTTGGGGGAGGGGGAATGGTTAGAGTTTCAGTCCAGTTTAAATCCAGTTTCCATCAGAATCCTGCATCGGGAAGGTTTGGGGTCACGGAAGGCAATTCCTTCCCCTGCCTAGCAAACTCCTTTCTCGGGCAGAAAGCCTGAATGTTTGGGGCACTGGCTGTTTCACTCGACGTAGCCAAGAAACCAGTAGCAAGTTAAATCGATGGAAGTCTCGTCCATATCCAGGCATCAACAGACACAGGATGTGTAAAAGAAACAGTACGTTTGTGCAATCTTGCAGAACTCTCCCAAGTAATCCGCACAAATCCTAAGAAATCCATACTTGTAATTGAGAAATTTCTGAAGAAGTTTGACTGTAACATAACTGGCCCTAAGCTGCTGAATCAATCCTTAAACACACTTTCACTTATCCTAATTTCTCCTTACATGCTTCAATGCCATAACTCCTAATATACTATTTAATTATTATGTGGAAGCCATCATGTAAAAGCAATTTTTTGCAGTAATGAAATATCCCAAAATCCTTACACAGAAGTATTAACAAACAAAATATGATACTGGTGCATGTTATGAGATAATTGTGCAGATGACCAAAAGCTTGGCAAAAAATGTAGGTTTTAAGAGTGTTCTAAAAGGAGAGAGACAAAAGTAGGGAGTGAGGGAATAATGGAGGGAATTCCAGAGCTCAGGGCCCAGACAGCCAATGGTGGAGCGACCAATTCTAAGGATGCACAAAAGATTAGAATTGGCAAATATCTCAGGAAGTCTATCAGCCTGATTGAGGCTATGGAGATTGGGAGGTAGAGATATACACAGGAAATCTACCAACCCATGAGATCAGGTCCGAGAGTAGGGTACGCTGTTCAGACTCTCAGACAGAGAATGATGGAAGCCAAAGGAAGGAGGAAAGCAAAAGTACCTTAGAAAGTGCTATCAAACCACGGGACCAAAAAATAAACTATGCTATCCTGAGATGATATTACTTGGTCACACTTGTTCAACTGTACTCAATTGCTGAAACCTGACTCTGTGTTAAATTGGAAGGAAATGGGACAGCTGGCTTGTCAGTGAAGAACTCTGTTCTATTATTGCCTTTACAGCTCCAAATAGCAATGCTGCTAGTTTGACTCAGCACTACTGGGTAGCACAATATCACACTGTACCTGCAAGTATCATGTCTGGCTGAAGTGATTTGGGAATAAGGAAAATGACGT